CTACTTTTCTTTGGGTCTTTTTACCCTAACTGCCTAGCCAATTCCTACCTCCTATTCTTATCACACCATCCTCTGAACAGGTTACCCAAATTACCAATAGGGACTTGGGACACAGACTGCTCTGGCTTCTGTCTGGGCCAACTGTAGGGTCTTAAACACCCAAAAGAAAAGCATAACCAAAGATTAAAGGACCAATATAATTCTTTAAGGGTCCACGTGTATAGCTAAAGGCTACATAACAAGAAACAATGCCAGACAGGAGATACCTTCTTTTGAGTTGTTGGCCAGGGTGGCCCAAGAGACTCCCAGACAGTAACCCAGCACAGAACTGGGAAAATGAACAGCAGATCCCAGTCTTAGCTAAGGAATATTCGCAACTGATTGCTGCTGGATGAGGAAGAGCTGATCTTCCTAAAACAAGGAACTCTAGACAGGCTGACTAGATTCAGCAGATGGACAAGCACTGGAGAATGGCTGGGGGCACCGACAACACAGTGGACAGTAACAGGGATGACAGAGTATATGGGCTCCGGGGAGGGGGGGCAGGTTATGGGAGGGTGCCATTTGGAAAATGGGTATATAGAGAAATAAGACTGTGTGGGATGTTCTGTATGAAATACCCACAAAAACATCAAAAAATTTAAAAATGAGTTATACTGAGGAAGAAGCATAAAATTGGTTTCATGTAAATCCATGCTCAGCTGCCAAGGATCTCAGAAAGTAAGTGACTGTAGCTAGTAATAATCAGATACATAGAGATTAGAGACATATGTACAAACATCTAAGTGTTCGTAGCATTAAAATGAGTTTTTCTATATGAAACAGTATAAGATCTTTTTTAAAGGTTCAAACCTCCTTCAATTTTATGTCTTACAGGGTTTATACTGAGTTCAATGTTGTATAACTGTATTAATTCAACTGTGAACCTAAAATTTTACAGCCAATTTTGAAAGAGATGCATCTTTGCTCTGGAAATTGTTATTGAATGTTAATGCTGTAATGAAATGTTTCTTCGAATCATGTGGTTTTTAAATAAATAATTTAAAAAATTTAGTACCCTGAGAGATAGGGGCAGTATAAGGGAAATAAGATTGTAATTGAATTTCCATGGGGTGTACACTGGTACCATCCTTCTGAAAGCAATCTGTTAGAAAGTACTGAAGACTTGAAAGTAAGCCATGGCTCAAAAAGCAACTCTTACTCTATGACATCTTTCTTTAAACCAATAAGGATCAGTTTAATAGCTATTACACAGCTTTCTCTAGCTAAGGTTTTTGCTAAAATCTATCAAAATTAAGAAGTTGGCTCCTTCACATGTATATTTGTGTGTATGGAGAGAGGCTCTTTAGAAGCTTGCTACGGATCAAAATCCTCATTTTTATGAGTTTTAAAAACTTAAACTTTTTGTTATAAACCAAAACAAAGTATCCATATTGAGCTCATTTTCTGATTTCTAAAGACTATACATACTCTCTTTATAATTGTGTTTTGCATACTGCCCTATTGAATCTGGAATTCTTTAAACGACTTCAGCCATCCTTGACTTCCCATTTGACTTCCCATCTGGTCTTATTGTTCTCAGTGCTTTCAGAGTATCCAGCATGATGCTGGCCACTTAGTAGACATGTAGCAAGCTTCTTTCTTTCCTGTCTTTATCCTTTTAGACCCAGCTCAACTGTCCTTGCCTCTTTGAGACTAGCTCCCAACTTCCCTGGGCAGTTATGAGCCCCTTTTTCTTTCTTCTCCCATAGCAACACACACATGTCATCTGTGGTGGTGTTTTCCCTCTAACCACTTGCTTCTTCTTAGAGGATCCTGTTATCTTTGTGACCAGCACAGCCAGTGTGCAGAGTATAGCAGGGAAGGAACTGTGAATGTCCATATGAATGAGTGGATCAATTAATTTCTCTATTCTAACACCTTCTCCTTTTAGTTCATAAAAATAAGCTTCTTTTAAACATTTTTCTCTTTGAGGGGATATGACTTTAAGAAAGAAGGATACATTTTTCTCTTCGAGGGGATATCACTTTAAGCAGGAAGGATACATTTTTCTCTTGGAGGGAATATCACTTTAAGAAGGAAAGGATACATTTTTCTCTTTCATAGAGTATCACTTTTAGTAGCAAAAGATCTCAAAGCCTAGATGTTACAAGACTAGAGATTAGAGGCAGTTTATTATAAGGCTTTATATAACAAATTTTGGAAATGTTTATACAATTCCATTATCTATAGACTGGCTTTAACTGCTATTTTAAGGAAGAAAAAGCCCTCTGCCTTTCACAGTTTCTGCAGATGATATGTTTTGGCAACAGTTCATCCTAAGAAGGATTCTGGCAGCTTCCCCAATTTACTGAAATTTGTGAGAGCAGTATAGAGTGTGGAAGTGTTTATGTGTGCTTCACTCGGCTTGTTTTTCTAAAGACGGGGTCTCCTGTGTCTCTGGCTGGCCTGGAACTTGCAGCACTGCTCCTGTCTCTGCCTCTGGAGGGCTTGTGTTGCAGGTGTGCATCGCCAGGCACAGCTCTTTGTTTTTTGATTTTTTTAATTTAAAAATTTAACTAATAAATAAAAATTATACATTAACTGTTTTCTTTTTTCTTTGGTGAGGAGGGTGCCAGACTGAAAGCACAGAGGCGTTGTTTCTACTCTAAATAAGGAACATCGTGGTTTTCTTTTATGTAGAAATGAAAGTGAAATCTAGAAATCCTGCTAATCATGACAAAGTGCTCGAAAATAACTACACCACACCCTTGATAGCATAGATAAAGCATCGGCTTTGAGTAGCACAAACAAACACTCTCTCCGCTTGGAGTGTTCTCAGTCTCTCTGGGTGTTCTCATTAATCTTGGACGGATATAAACTCCAGGTAATTTGACTAATTCTCATGCTGGGTAAATTCTATCTCTCTCAGAGCTCTGATGAATAGTAACAGTTCCTACTGAGAAAGAGCAATGGTACTGTGTGTGGTGCTAACCTGCTTCATAGCTGTGGCTCAGGAGAAAATGTTTTATACTTGGAAGACAGAAAATCTCAGCTGAGACACTGTCACTTTGTTTTCCAAAGCCTCAGTTTTGTCAACTACAAAAAGGGCATAATGTTGACCTCTCAAAATTTTAAGAAATTACCACAGTAAAGCCAGTGGAGATGTTTCATAAACTGTTCCATGCTTGATTTTTAAAAATGCAAGATATTGGGAATGAGGAGAAAAACTTAAAACTTTTAGGTGAAAGCAACACATTTTTCATTCACCATATTAAGCTTTCAAAAAATAATGTCCCTTGACTGTACTTATTGGGAAAGAAAATGGAAGAATACAGTCCAATGTGCTTTCTCTTCTGGGTAGTGGAAACAGCCTTTCTTTTATTTTTACTTTCTTACTTGTCCATAATGATGATGAATTAACTTGCAGTATTTTAATTTTTAAGAGGTAAAAGAAGCCAAGCTCGCTTAAATGTAAGTTAAGCCACCGCTGCCCCAGCTGGCACCAAGGCAGTGCTGGGCTTTGCTCTGAGTGTCTTCATTCTTGTTCCAGCTTGGGGCCCAACTGAGCTCACAAGAATTCTGCTCTTTCAGCATCTTCTAACACCTGTCACTGCTCTTCGGCTTAATCAGCACCTTGTGGTAAGGACAAACTCAGGTCAGTCAGGGCATGCTCTGGGTCACAGCCAAGAAAAATGTCAACCCTGGTTGAGGGAGCCAAGAGCTAACGGTTTAGGGGTTCAGTTACATTTACCAGCCTGGGCATCTCAGGAGCTGCCCTGATTTCTGCCCCTGCCAGGTGACAGCCTAAACATGGGGTGGTTGGAAAACAGCACTGCACTGTGGAGTTCTCTCAAAGTATGAGCGTGTCTGTCTGCCTATCTGTTTCTCATTCCATTTCTATCTCTCCCCTATTCCCCTGAACATACTGTTTTCTCTGTCTAGAAATTTCCATATACCCCTATTAGCCTGGCTAAGATTTCTGCAACTACTTTGACCTCACCCTCATTTAGGATGGCACCCTTGACTCACTCTGTGCTGTTGTGGTCATTTCCCATGATCACACCCTACTCCTTACTATGTGATATGCCCACAGTTGACAAAGGAGAGTTCTCAAGAAGGGTTTGTCAATAGTGGCCAGTTCTGGCTGCCTGATTGGGAGACTCTACCCACAGTCTCATCCTGCTTACTTCCTCTGATCAAATAGTGTCACCTGTAAAAGATGGCCCCACAGATGCTTCTCCAGGACACTCCAGTCCCAAGGGGGGGTGTCCCCAGAACTCCCAGACTCTCCACTTAGCACTGCTGCACTGCCTCATGACAGTCCTGGAACTTGGTTTCCTTTCCACAGAGTGCCTCTAGAGGGAGGTACTAAGTGCCTGGAACTGTGTCTTAACATCACCTTATATACTCAACAAACAAGAATCAGTGCTAGCACGTCCCAAAGAACAAGACATGTCTCCTATCCACACAGATGAGGAGGCAGGCAACAGCTTACCTGAGTTAAGTCTAACTTGGGTCTAAGCCTATTCCCAATGGGCTATCTCCAGACAGGGGATGTTGCCATGTTCTCCGGAGGCTTTGCCTTATTAGAAAATGTACTCAGAGGCTATGCAAGCAGAATAGGCTGAGAACCAGATAGAATATCTGACCCTCTGTGCCATACAGCCAGTCAGGCACGCTGAGTAGAAAGGTCCTGGAGTATCTGTGGTGAACAATGTCCTCTTGGGAGAAACCAGACCCTAACCAGGTAATTACAAGTATGCCAAGTGCTAGAAGTTGGTGCAAAGAAGTCTACACACGGAAGGTTTCTCTTAAGAAATTAAAATGAAATATATTCCATGATATATTTCTTCAGGTTATCATTTCTGTATGATACATTGTCACTTATATAGATGGGATAAGGAAAAACTATAGCTAGCCCCTAGTTGTAAAAAGATCACACTTTACTAGTATATCCCCAACTGACACCAAGTTCATCTTCAGCCAGATTTCCTCTCCCTCTTTCCCAACCTTTCCATTTTCCTAAAGAAGGATTTTAAAAAATAGTGATATTCTATATATTCAGTGACTTAACCTTGAATTTCCTAACAAAACCAAAGTGGGTTGGAACTGACACTCTGCCACTGTGTGTATATGGGCACATCACTATCCACAGTCAGAGGAACAGCCAGTTTGGCACCATGGAATCAACTTAAAACAACAGGACCATGATCCTTCCCAGCTCTTCCCCCAACTCTTACTCCTAACAAAAAACACATTTATCCCTGGCACATGTAATGCTAAAGACTGAGGGCATGTCACTGGCTGTGTGTTTCTGATAACTATGTGAGAAAGTTGCTGTTTCTGCACGATGAACAAACAGGTATGTACTTGGTAAGTCAACTGCCATAGTACTGCAGGATTATTCTTTAAATGCTACTGGTTTGTTTTACCTCTTGAGCCAGAAGTCTGACTCATTTGCACATCTTTTCTTTTGTAAAAGCTTGATTCTTCCCATAGAGATCTTGGGGTCCCCAACCCTGGACTCTGGAGTGGGAATGGGGCTGAGTCCTCACAAGAATCCCATCTCACTACAGGAGGGAAGGATTCTCTACTATGTGTTAAAGGAAAAAAAAATCAACAAAAAATGTGCTGACTGTCACTTATGGAGCATCATACAGAAAATTACAAGTGACTTTTAGAGATCCTTCCAACAGCAGGAATCTGTTTGTCTAAATAGAAGGTGCCAAGGGAAGGGTGTACTTGCCCGCTCACTCAACATGTATTTGGAGAACATCTCTTCTACTCTGGGCTCTCTAGGAGGCTCCTGGAATACAATGGAAATTAGGTCAGATGAGCCCCTATGTTTATGGAACTTACAGTGGAGCCAACATAAATAACTGTAAATAAAATGACAGCTGTGGTGAGATCAACAAAGGATAGGTATATGGAGGCCTAGGAGGCAATACTCAAGGAATGGTACCCACTCTGGAAGGTCATGGATGCGTTCCCAAGAAAGTGCCTCTGCTATCACTTGGGAAACTACAGAAATAAACTACTTGCATTCAGAGACATTACATAATTCAAATATTTCAAAATTCAGAGAAATCACTACTGTCCACCCTATAAAAGAACTGCCAGGAACATTTACCAGCAAGGGATGTGGTGGGTGGGCAATAAGCCTGGAACTAAGGGACCACGAGTTTAGTTGAGTGAGCTCAGTTATGCTCAGGCACAGCACTGGAGATCCATACTATGTAGCCTGTTTATTACAATGTTTAACAATTTACCAATTTTTTAAAAATCTCTAACAAATTGTTTACCTTAACAATTTTCTTTTTTCTCAAAGACAGAGAAGAAGAACTGTGGAGTAGTCTTATGAGACATTCTCTCTTTGGACATACAAAACATCAAGGGGACGTTAGAACCATGGCTAGCACCAGGTTTTGTTGAATGGGTTAATAAGTGAAAACAAGCTTTATCAAGCAAGAGTCTAAAGTCTGAGTTTCATCCAAAAAAAAAATCAATTCTACAAATATAACATAAAGGACTTTTCCTAATAGATATTTTTGGGTATAAACATTAGGGGTTTAATTATCTACAACCTGATGTAGGTTCAACAATATTATAAAGCTTTCTCAAGCTAACCTAACTGCAAGTTCCACCAAGGAAAGCACAGTGCCCAGTTCCAAAAAAGGAATCATCCCACACACTCTTCCACTGCCAGGCCTGGAAGATTTGGGCTCATTTGGGCATGACTTCCATGAGAGGCAATGATGAACTCAGAAACATCTAGAAACTTGTGGCTCCCCAGAGGTGAGGGGCTGATCGGAGGTACCTATCAACAATGTGAAGAATGACTAGAGGAGCAAAGACGAGTACTCTGGAAAGGGCAAGACCTGAGAGCTGCATCTAGCATTTGAAGAGCTGCTGTGTAAGACAGCAGCAGCTGTGCTATCCTGTTTCCAGGCCTCTTCCTCATCAGTCAATGCCACTTCTCCGGCTGGGTCTAATCCTCACCTTGCCCAATGCTTCCCACATGGGCCTATTGGGTAAGATGTCACTATATATACTGTCTCTGTGTGTGCATGCACTGTGTGTGCGTGTGTGTTCATGTGCATGCGTGTGCACGTCTGTGTGTGTGTGTGTGTGTGTGTGTGTGTGTGTGTAAAGAAAGAGAGACACAGACAGGGAGACAAAGAGGCAGAGACAGAAGCTATGCTTTTGTAAAACTATGTTAATAGGGTCTTTATACTAGAATATTCTGGAACTTCCAAATTCCAATATCATTGTGAATATTTATGACAGAGAGGTATATTTAAGTTTCCCAATCTAGTTCTCATGGAACTAGTATTCTTCCATAATTCACACTCTGGGAAACTTGACTCTATAGACTTTTTTAACTAGGCTCAACATTGATATGGCCCACAAGGACACAAAACCACAACTTTGGACATAGCACTTGCATTCAAAGATATCTTCTTCCATAAAAAAGGGTAACTGGACTGGGGATGTAGCTCCATAGTAGAGTGCTTGCCTAGCATGCTCAAGGCCCTGGATTCAACCCCTAGCACTAAAAATAAAAAAGGAAAGGTTAGAAGAATGGCTGGTACCATGTCTGTATTGACTGGATAACATCGGGAATTTCACAGAAGACCATCTCACAGGTTCACTGAGCATTTGTGTAGCAGCTCACAAAATAACGCGGTACCAGCCACATTTTCTGAAGTAGGACAGGACTAAGCAGTGGTCTTATGTTCATTCATTAAAGACTCAGAATTCAGGGAAATCTAGTGCATTTTTTAGACATTGTACAACCCTCAAACTCACCCATCTTTCTTAATATCTCCTAATTCTAACAAGTCAATTCACTGTCACAGAGCACTGCCGCTCTGCCAAGCATGGCAAACTACTTAGAACTTCATAAGAACATGCCTCAGGTCTACCAGCTCATACTACTCACCATACCTCTGGGTTTGTAGGAAAGCAGATCAGTATCCTGTCCTGATTAACATAGGATGAACTGCACTCAGTTGCAAGGCTGAAAGAATGCTTGGTTTTTATTTTTTCTTTGCCAAAAGATGGCCACAGAGCAATAAAGGACAAAATATGAGTCCCTTTACTTCAAAATGTTGGGTAAAGAAAATATAAAAGATAGGTTTCCTGCAACCTGGCTAGAAATCAACACATGGGGAAGGGTCACATGCCTGCAAAGATGTTTGGAAGAGAGCAAGTGATACAGGTGGGATGGGACAGTAGGGACAGTCATGGAGGAGACCAAAGTTCATGTCAATATTTGGATTGGCAGAGATGAGAAGGGTCAGAGGTCACTCAGAGATTATATCCAGGACCCCCTTCCACCACACCACAATTTACACATATATCCTCATTACAAGGCTGTACTATTATTTTTCTTTATCTATTTTTATTTTATGTGTGTGAGTGTACCACATGCATGCAATGCCTGTAGAGGTCAGAAGAGGACCTCAGATCTCCTAGAACTGGAGGAATTGCAGTCATGTGGGTGCTGGGAACTGAACCCTGGTCCTCTGCAAGAACACTCAGTGGTCTTAACCCCTGAGCCATCTCTCCAGCCTCCACATGGCTGTACTTTTAATTTCTATATCACCTATTAACTTAGTTTCACCCTCATGGTCTTCCTTCATTTAGCCATGATAAATCCTAAGTTGTTGCTACAGAAAACTTTGGCCTATGAAAGAGAAAGATTTAATGCTGTGCCAAAACCTTTTCTTAAACAAAAACAAAACAAAAAACTGACTTGCTCCACCATATTTCTTTGCAGAAATGAAAACATTTGCTAAGGTTTCCTTGGCCACTAAGGAAAGAAAAATATGTTTATCATTGTTTAATCCCTAGAGACTCAATGTCCTTGTTGCCAAAGAGGCCCCCAAACTTCCTGTCTCAGTAGATGTGAGCCTCTGAAAGCAAACTGAGCCTTCCTGCCCAAATGTGCTCACCGCTTTTCAAATGTGTATACTTCACCAGGGTTGTTATAAATAAGTTGTGTCTTGATTTAGAGCTCACTGGCTCCCTCTGCTATTTCAGCGCTCTCGAAGCAGTCTAAACTTTCACCGGAGGCAGCAGTTGTGGGAAAGAAAACGCTAGCACAGGAGTAAAACTTACCAGTTCCAAAGCTCTCCTCCCCACAAAGGGACAGTTTGCTTGCATCCATCAAATTCCCAAAAAACTTCCAGCCAGTTGGGGTCTCATACAAAGCGATCTTTGTGGCATTTGCTACCCTTCAAAGGCATGAAATCAAAGTTACATCACAGCAGGACTGTGAGCAGGGCCACGTGACAGATAGAAAAGAGCAGTCATTATTGTAATCAAGGGTCCCATTTAGCATTGCTCAGAGGTAGACATAACTCTAAGATTGGTGAAAAATCATAAGAGAAAACTTGGGCACAATGGGCTCTTCTGTATGGATTCAGAGGAAAGCGGAGAAGAGGAAGAAGAAAGAATGAATTCAGATCACAGTTTAATACTTGAGAAAATACAGCAGCAGTAAAATATGCAGGGCTGCTTTGGGGGTACTTAAACCCAGGTATCTACTTGAACTTTCTGCTTTTGATTTTGGACAAATGAGGAATAATCATATATATATATATATTT